TCAATAAAATGAGTTATTTAAATTTATAACCACCCACATAAAAAATACATTTTGAATAATATTATCTCAATAACCTTAAATAAATATATTAATAATATTGTTAAATTAAGAACATATTCTAAACAAGAATCAAGGTGATCATTTTCTGTAAATAATTCTTTCGTTTTTGTTTTAACTCCGAACTGCTTTTATCTCCCATTTGTACGCCAAAACTGAAGAGAGAGAAGATTATGGGCTTATTCGATTGCATTTTTGAGTTATGGTGACTTAAGTGTAGATATTGAGTTGAATTTGAGTTATAATTTGAGTTGAAGTTGTAACTTAAGTTTGTATTTGAATGTTCACATTTGAGTTATGATTTGAATTTAGAATCTCATTGAGTTTGTGTTTGAGTGGGTTAAAACTTGAATTTGTAATTAGAAAGTATTTTAATAAAAACTCAATGGTGATGAAAACTTTTAATAGGATACGGGCAGGATTTTATTTGTCTCTTCATTGTGAACGCATAGAAAAAAAATTTTCTCAATCGAAATTAAAACGAAAAAATTATGACGTTTTTAAGAATAGAAAAAATATTATTTATTAACTTACGTTTGAGTTTAAGAACTTGAGTTAAAAGGGAAACTTGAACTCAGATTTTAGTCTCAAACTCGAGTTAAAACTCAAGTTCAAACTTCAATTTTATAAACGAACATAAACTTAAATAATTTTTTTTTTCAACATAGAATTGTATGTTTGTTTGCTTAATTTAAATTCTGCATGTGAAAAAAAAATACTAATAAAAAAGTTAAAATTTAAATTTGTATAAAAAATATATTATAATAATAGAACTTGAGTTATAAAGAGAATAGAGTCTCATGACTTCAAAGAAAAACACCATAGTAATAAATTTGAGTTGTAATAGACTCGTATCTCTCTCTGCTAATGAACTCAGATAATCATTCGTTATTTGAATATGCAAAACCATGAATTCGTCGTGCCAATTGCCAATGCTTATATATATATATATATATATATATATATATATGGTTACTAACGGGTGAGCATTTTCTTAAGAGAAATGGCAACCACATAGACGAGCTCAACTTATAGCATTTCGTTTCGTTTCGTTTCGTCCCCATAGTGGTTAGATATATGAGGCATCGTATCAAGCGTCATGATTCCAAATCTTTATAAATAGACATAAAACCAAAATATTATTATTTGATGGTGTGTTGGTTAAACAAGGCTAGTTCCGGGTCAAAAAACATCTTATCTAATAACTAAAATGGGTCCAAAAGGCGATTAAATAAAAATGGTCCAAACGCAAAAGGTACCAAAAAGCATACAAACAAACGAATTTCTTGCTGATTCACAAGTGGGCATTACAAACAACCAAAAAAAAAAGAAAAAAAAAAAGAAAAAAGAAAAGAGATGTAGAGAAAAACATCTCCATAATACATTTGAACAACCTGTCTTGGACAGAAGCACACCAACCTAATTTTGACCATTGTATGTGTGTATGGTATTGTGATTATTAATGCTTATCAAACTGCGCTGGATGAAGGATAAAATAGATAACTATCACGTCAATCAGGCCGGCACATTATAATAATAATAATAGTAGTGTAATAATATGAATTAATAAAGCGACTTCTGATCTCGTTTTATGAGCGTCCTTCCTCCACAGCTAAGAATATTTGAATAACTTTTGAAAGCATTTTAGTTTAGTTTACATCAGTTTTGTCTGCTACCTCGTGGTTGTAAATCAAATACATGTTGCTGCTTTTTTTTTTTTTTCTTTTTCTTTTTTGGAAAAGAAAATCAACCTTTCTAATCAGTTGTCTTGATTGAAAAACTGGCTTATACATTGTAACACAGAGAGAGAGAATATTCTTGAAGAAATCCTTATACTTCAGAAATTGAAAACAAAAAAAAAAAAAAAAAAAAATCCCACAAATAAGAGCACGTTTGATTCGCTGATTCATTTTTTATTAATTTAAATTTTTTATCTAAAGAGAAAAATTTAAATTATAATTTAAATTTGGGAGAAAGAAAAAAACAGGTTAAGACTTGAGATGAATTAAAATTAATAGGCCAATAGTTTACATAAGTTAATAAATATGCCAAATTACTATTTTCGTCCATAACTTGTCTGATTACAAACCATAACTTGACAAGTTATTGTCCATAATTATACATAACTTGTTTGGCTATGAACCATAACTTGACAAGTTTGTCCATAACTTATCTGGTTATGAACCATAACTTGACAAGTTATGAACTATTAAATTTCTATAACTAAAAATTAGCCTATATACTTTCTTTAATTTTTTTATATTGACATATTTTCTACTATTTCCCTTTAAATTTATATTTAAATGTGTAGTTAAAATTTTAATCTGAACCGGAAATAAAATTTAAATTTGTGTTTAATAAGTGTAAAAAGTAGAGAGAGTTGATATTTTTTTATTATTTAAAAATTGTTTAAACCGTTAAACTTAAAGGGAGGCTAAACTCTAAAGTTGCATTTGGTATTAGGTTTCTAGAATCAGAACCATAATTCTAATTTAAACCTTTATTTGTTTGCAAAAACTAAAAAATAGTTCTTGAAAATCAGTGTTTAGTTTGAATGATTATGATTTAAAGTTTGAATTCTGATGTGATGTTTTAAACTAGAACCACCTTAAAAAATAAAACCACCTCCCACCTTGATTTTGAATGGTTCAAATCTCTGATTCTGATTCCGGTTCCAAAAATACGGTTTGGACCTGAAATTCAACTCATAAATCATGGTTCTAATTTTAAAACTAAAACCACCATGATTTGAACTCTCATAGCAAACGCAACCTAAGTTAGACAGTTTAACTCAGTTCAAACAGAAAATATAATTAAAACTGCGTGCTTATCAAATACGAGTATTATTGTTACAACAATTAAGATGAGGCCTTTCAGAGCTCCTTTTTTTTTTCTTCTTCAAGCGAGGAATTAATGGATTTCAGGTCTGTTCATGGAAGAATAAGACATTCCCTCCTTCAACAAAGATTCGATTTTAACGTAAACAAGTGAAATGACATTTATAGCAAGCAAAAGAAACAGAACCTTGGAAATAATGTAAAGAAGTGAAATTACGATGAATCAGAAGTCACAGAGAATTGATATTGTGAATATATCAATTCTGTGGAAAATTTTGAGCTAAATTAACGCGTAAAGAAGTATATCCATCCTAATTTAGAAATCTCAACTACAGGAAAAAGAAGAAGAAAGTCCGAGAAACAATGCTCTCCCTTGGAAAGAAGACGATCATATTGCAAGCATTAAAGAAAACTCTACTGGGAATGGATAAGTCCACTCGCATTTCTCATCTCACAATTACAAATTCAAGAATATAAGTCGAATGTGATAGAGAGAGATTCTTCTATGAGCAAAGACGACGAAACCCAAAAAAACAAAAACAAAAAAATGCTAAGAAGAAGAAGAAATAGATTCCAATGCAAGCATTCACAGAAAATTCTACTGCCAATAGCTATTTCCACTATTACAAACACAAGAATATAATTAGAATGTGATGGATAGAAGAAACCTTCTTCTATGAACAAAGAAGAGGAAAGCCAAGAAAGAATGCTTTTTATCTGTTATCAAGCGAAAACCTTCTTCTATATAATTACAAGAATATAATTACAATGCTTTCAATTTGATAGAGAAAACCTTCTTCCATGAGCAAGTGCATAAACAGAGGAGCAAACTGGAAATAGACCACGCTTTCTGTTAGAATCAGTGACAGATTCCTCTTTTTAGTTTGTTATTCTTCTAACAGATTATCAGTGGAAATTAATATCTACCTACCATTTATTATAACAGATTCCTCTCGTTAGATGTTTTATAATAGTTTATTATACTTTTCAAGCAAACCTAGCACAACAGTAAGCATTTTGTTTTAACTTTCGTTCAAGTTCAAACGCCCCTCCAAGGGCTTTTTGCAAAATGGCTAAGATAAACACTTGCATGACTTCCAAAAGATTAAAAAAAAAATTGCAAAATGTGAAACTTACACTGAGCGACCAAGTGGACCCGGTCACCCAATGTAAAAAATAAAAAATAAAATAAAAAAAAATAAAAAGAGGTCATTTTTGTTAATATCACTTTCTAACTTGTAATTTAGGCAAACTTCCCCGTCCTAACACATAAAGGTCATAACTCACTCTTCCACAGCTCATAACTCACTCACTTTCTAGCAGTACATTTATTGGTGCTGTCAGTTCAATTGTTTCCTGACGTATATTTTCTTTGTTTTTTCTTTGTTTTTGATAATACGTATGTTTTATTTGATATATGTTTATGTCACCACCTTTCTTTTCTTACAGCGATATAAGAAAAATAAGAAGCTCTCGATGTGTAATGTAAAGGAAGCTCCTAAAGTACACAATAAAGTATAGTGTGATTTCATATCTCAGAACAGAATTTTACCTTTTAAACACAATCTAAAATACAAACATTCATTATAGGCACACGTGTTTTTCGGAGGCTTTGATCTGGGAGTCCCTTATCACTTATATACGTCTACTTTGAAAAGAATTCAGAAGGTAAAAATTATAGTTAGAATATGAATTACTTGACAGATATTGGAATTTTCTTTGTTTTTTTCCCCTCATGCCGCTCATGTCTTCTTCAAACTGCGGTTTAAATACATGAATAGCCGGCATCTACACTTTGCAGCTTATTATGATACTCAAATCTTAAAATTATGCCACGTTTGTTTGTTTTGTTTTTTTTTTTTTTTTTTTTTCTTTTTTTCTTCTCATACAAAGCTAAAATCAAATAGCATGGATTGTCAATACATGCAATTAAACTAACAAAAATAATAAGTGAATCAATATGAGAGAACCAAGAGGCAATATATCAACTGTAAAATTAGAAATCTATTTGATCAAAATTGAGAGAGATAGCAGCATATAGTGAAAGGCAAACAATGGATGTAAAATTGAATCAATTCAAAAGGTCTTATGAGGATACAAAAAACATAAAAGGAGGAAGGAAGCTAAAAAAATATAGCCCATCAATTTCATCAATTAATGTAATCAGTACATAAGCCAGCCTCCAAGACAACAACCTCTCACAACTTATTTCCTCTCTTGAAGACATAAGGGCGAGAAAAATAAGGAAAATGAAACCCATATGACTAGTTCTGTGTTTCTTAAAAATAGCTTCAGCAACCAGTATTGATGACCTACAAATGTGTTGGGGTACTCCAAATTATTTTTGAACCTATTCCTGTGCTACATCATGATGCCAACCTTTTGAATTTTTTTTTTTTTTCTTTTCATGTCACTAAAAATTTGGGGAAGACAAATTCAATGGAACTAAGGATAGAAAAGTTTGAAAAGAAAATGGTGAAAAAAAAAAAAAAAAACCCAAGACATCTCCTTCAAGTAAAAGAAAATTTTCAATTGAATCTTGAGTATACCTCTGAAATTCTTCCCCATCATCTCCCCACCCAAAGCGGAAAATAACTGAGAAAGGAAAAGAAAAGAAAGTAAGGGTGGGGAAAATTACCAATTAGCAGACTTTTTTTTTTTTTTTTTTTTTTTTTTTTTTTGTTTTGGTCGATGGACGACAAACCAATCTTATACATCCATGGCTGTGAAAATGGCACTGCCTGAGAGTAAATCAAATATCAGCATCCCATCACAGCACAATTATAGACAAAGTTACCAGACTGCTTCCTTGCTAGTAAATTCCACTCTGGAGGACCCTCACTTGGAACCCATGAATTCACTTCTATGAAACTCTCGCCACTTCTCGGTCCACCAATCACAATAAGCCTATCTCCACATGCTCTAAATGCCACACCCCAACCATGCATTGACATAGCTCTCTCAGGCAATCTCCCCACAGTACCCCACAATTTCCTCTCTTTATCATACTTCTTCACCTCCATGTCAGCATAATCAGCCGCATACAACTGATTGTTCACCACTGCCACCAGAGGAGGGGCCTCCGCAGTCGCGGGCATCTCGTTGGCTGCGGCGCTCCGTCCTGGCGACATGTTCTCAATTTCCATCCATGTTCTCGTCCTTAAATCGAATTCCTCCCCACATGTTAGGACCTTGTTCTCGCTCCCTCCAATCCCACCAATAACGTAGAACTTCCCGTCCATGAAAACCCCTGAACACATCTTCCTCGGCTTCATCATGCTCGGGAGTGTGTCCCACGTCTGAGTCTCCGAATTGTACATCTCGGCGGAGCTGAGAATGTTCCCGTCCGAATCACACCCGCCTGCCAAAATTGCAATCTCCCCGAGGCTGGCGGATCCAAACAAGCATCTCGGAGCATTCATCCTCATTCCTGAGGACCAAGAGTTCGTCAATAGACTATATCTATGGATGACATGGGAATTCAATTCCTTCCCAAATACAAGAAGCTCCGTTCCCACAGCCAACGACTCCTTATCCGAACACATGAAACATTCATTCGACGCCATCCTCGGCAAATGCATCCATCTCCGTCGAATCGGATCAAAGGCTTCCCATTCAAGGAGCTGACAAGAGAAGTAAACCCAATGTTCTATGACCCCATTCAGCCTCCTAAGCCTATAGAGCTCGCCCGTCCGAATCAGCGAACGAAAACTCCGGTTCACGGAGGCAATCGAGCCATAATCTGATCTGGAGCATCGAATCAGGCAACTAATGGAGTTGTCCCTACCAATTCGATGGATGAGCGAATCGGAATCCGACGAATTCCCGGCATGGCGACGGTTGTTGGATAGCTGGCGTGAAGCCTGTGATGATGACATATCAAGAAGCCTCTCGCGGGAATCCAACAATAACCTGGCCGATTTCCTCTGCGGCGTGTGGTCGTCTTCGGAGTCGATTTCGAACTGCCGTTTGTTGCTGCTTCCGATATCGACTTCGATAAATTGGAAAGACATGCAATTCCACTTGCTCTCAGGCTGGCAAGAGCTCGAAAACAGCCTCGATACCAGGCAGGACCGACCCTCCAACATCTCTCCGAGAACCACCTCCAAATTCAAATTATAAAGGAATCCAAATTCCAATGCAAAAACCCACAAGGAAAAATCCCCTCCTTTTTTTTCCTTTACGACAAAAATCGCACCACCAAAAATTTTCTCTTCTTCGAATCCAAGAACCAAGTCCCTCGAGAACTCGTTCAAAATACAGAACCCAACCTATTCAGAGAGAATTAAAGAGAAAAAAGCAAAATTTTATTGGGAAAATCTAAATGCTTAATTCAATGAAACAACGGAAAAACCCAGAAAGGTTTAACCCTTTTGTTTTTTTTTTTTTTTGCTATTTGTCCTGTGTTTCTAATGGTCACTGATCTGAATCCAATAAATCAACGATCCAGATGAATTTAAGGGAGAAAAAAACACCAATCTTCCAATGAATTTGTTTATGTGTGTTAAAGATTTTTTATTTATAAAGAAAAAAAAAAAGAAGGAACCTAAAGTCAAATTGCGGGCTTCGAACAAAATTTGTAGAGGATAAGACCCAAAGAAATCCAGAACCCCACAGCCAATAGAATCTTCAATTATGAAAAGAAAAACTACAAAAACTATTTCTTCTACGCAGGGAAAAAAAAACAGAGAAAAACAAAAACAGATCTTTGTATTTCTGAAGCTTTTTAACAAAATCGCAATGCAGAAATTTTACCAAAACAGAAAAATTAGATCTGTTTCCAATTCGTTATCGATGCAAAAACCGTTTCTTTCTTTCTGTAATTCTATCCAGTTATTTTCCCAAGCAACAAACAGAGAAATTGAAAATTTTATATATTTGGATATATGTGTAATAATACTAATAATAATAGTAATAATAGTAAAGGAAAAGGAAAAGAAGAAGAAGGAAAAACTAAAAGAACCGAAAAGCGGAAAAGAAATGGCGAGGGACTTACGGATTGGATAAGAAGAAAAAAAGGACTTGATTGGAATTTTCAAAATATAAGAGAGGCGAGAAATCTCTCTCTTCTTTCTTTCTCTCTCTCTCTTTCTCTCTCTTCTCTTTCTCTTTCTCTTTCTCTTTCTTTCTGTGCTGTTTCTGTTCTCGGCGTTCTGTTCTGGTAACCTCAGAGCCTCTTCTCTAATTGTCCTTTGGATTCTCTCTGCAAATCAGCGGGAGCCTTTGTGTTTGTGGAGAGAGCAAAAAAACCCACGACAAAACACACACTCTCTTTCTCTCCTTTATCTCTCTTAACCCGTTATTTTAATTTATAAAACACTATAATCTCTCCATTATTATCTTATTCTTAAAAAATTCCTACACATAATTAGTAGTATTTAAAGTATTAGCCATTTTCCATTTTTATTTATATTATATTATGTCCTGCCGTAAACATGTGTGTGTTTGTTCTTCTTTCTTCTTCTTTTTTTTTTTTTTTTTTTGAGATTCTGATAAATAGAAGTTTGGGGTGGAAGTGGTGGGGGCCCACAAAAGCTGAGTCTTCTCTTTTCCTGAGTTTTTCTGTGCTGTGAGTCACCGTTTTGTAACTGGTAACCGGCGAGCGCCGTTGGGACACGTGTTGACCGGGGGGCTCACTGAAAACTGTCGCCCTTGGGACTCTCCACGGGGTTGACAGTGCTAAAGTTACGGCTCCGTTACCGTTACGCCTTTTATGCGCTTTAAAGAAGATTTTTTTTTTTTTTTTTCTTTTTGTCGTTTCTAATTTCTCGTCTGGTCAATTTCTCGGGGATTACGGTTAAATTTTTTGATTGATGTTAAAGAGCAACGTAAAACCGTAATTATCCAAATTTGACCGGTCAACACGTGGTTTTTTGGTAATAATAATTATGGTTTATAATTATTATTATTATTAACTTTGCTTTAGCTGTTTTTTGTCCATGGGTAGGTTTAGGGAAGTCATAGCCAGCTCAAGATCTGTCGCCAATTCTCTTCTTACCTCAAATTAATTGATATTTCATTTAATGCCCTTGTCAGGGCAAATTCTTCACCTAGCAGTCAGATTGCTCCTTACGCGCCTCCCATAAAAACGGACAAATTAACTTTCTTAAGTTACACATTTATAAGTAGCCGCAAATAATCACTCATTGCAGAGGAATTCGATCCCGACTATTGTTTGAATCTATTAATAAATACCGATGAAGCGTAAGGGATAAATATAAAAGCATGGAGACTTATTAGAGAAAATTTTGCTCGGTACATAAAAATCAATCACAATAAAATTTGTTTAAAAGAAACATTACAGTCGATAAATTAAATTAGTCAATTAAAACTAAACCTAAATAATGAGGGCATAAGTAACATAACATAAATACAAATCTATTCAGACATCACCATTCAGTTAGTAAACAATTCAAATGGGTGGGACAAAATACAAACCCAGAACCACTACATCCATTATTGGAAGAAACACAAAAATAATCGGCGAAAATAACGCCGTTATTATACACATACTAGATATATAAAAGGAAAGGAAAAAAACTTGGTACATCGTCGTCGAACGCTTCAAACAAAGGACAACAAGCAAAGGAATCGTCAAAAAAGACAACTAGCTTCCAAAGATCCATAACAAAGTCGAAACAACACTCCTCATGAGCACGTACGCGCCATTGCCATTATCGTCAGAAGGAGACGCCGCCACCGCCAAAAGAAGACCACTGCCATGCATAAGAAAACCCCAACAGATCTCAGTCACCCACATGTGAACGAGTCGAAAGGCACAGCCTAATTGTGAGGCTTCCAAGCTCCCTTCAGTTTTTTATTTGCCCAAACATTAACGCCTCGCATCTCGCCATCACCACCATCGTGAAGCTCACGGTGAGACGAGACGGAGGACCAAACTCAAGACCGAGATCCCGGCGACATGCTCGGAGGCAGCACCGAACCTATGGCCAACAACTGCACTCCAAAGACGTTTAAGAGAGAGAAAAAGGTGAAACACGTGAGAGGAATTTTATGCGCCATTTTATGACAAATTCATTATTCTAAAATTGTTGATTTAATCGTTAAATTAGAGTCTAGAGGTAAAAATAAAATATATTTAATAAAATAATATTTTTTTATTTATCATTTTTTATTTTTATTTCTTGGAAGATGATTAGTTAATATACGCATTAAATAGCAGTGCCAGTATCTAATAATAAACTTATGAAGGTTTAATAATTTGTCAACGAGATACATATTAAATCGTGGAGCATAATTTTATCTTGATGATTTTTCTCATGCTTAGAAATAGTACGTAGATCGAATTTGAGGCTGATGGTGAGGTGTTTAATTTTCTCTTATATGAATATGATGAAAAATCTATCATCCTAAATACGATGCTTCAACGTAATTGTTTTTATCGACGTTTAAATCTGCACATCGTATTAATACACGCCATAGAATGTCAACACATCATTAAAAATACTTCAATCGTGCATTACGAGTATACACCATAAACTCATACTATTAGAGAAATTCTCTATACAAATATATATTTGCGCTAACTAAAAACCGTCACTATAGTCAAAGAAAGGCTTTTTTTTTTTTTTTTTTCTCTAGCGACACCCCCTCAAAGTTTTGAATTTAGAAATTTAGTCCTTATTTTTTTTCTAGCAATTGACCCCTTCAAATTAAAGTTTTGCAATTAAGGTCCCATCGAAAATAATATCTGCTCACATGACGCACATGTGAGAATATATTGAGGGTAATAAGTGTCATTTTTCACTCTTAGAGTGTTTGTTGAGGACAATAACCCTTTAAAATTAATAGTTATTTATCACAGCTGATTGTGTTCGGATACATTAGATGATTTTGAAATCAATATAACCGAATAAATAAGGTGAGAAATTACCTTTATTACTATCTTCAAATGCTCACGTGCACATCATATAATCAAAATCGTAAAGAAAAAAGAAATATATTATTTCCTATTAGACTTTAACTGTAAAAATTTAAAAGTTGAATGGGTCAATTGTCAAAAATAAATAATGATTAAATTATTAAATTCAAAAAATTGAGGGAATGTCCATTAAAAAAAAAAACCTAAAAGAAAAATTGAAGAAAATTTCAAGAATCTTTATTGTACTTAAGTACTTCTGTTCAGCGGGGAAAAAAAAGGGTCACTATTGTACTTCTAAAAGAAAAAACAAAGGCAACATGGGTAAAGTACAATGAATACATTTTCTTTAAAAATAAAGTACAAAAATTAATTCATTTTGTGTGTCTTAATAGTTCACCGTAACCATTAGCAAAATAAAAGTGAAGAGAGACATATAAAACGGTGCTGTTCTTAATATATCTTAGTGGAGTTATTGAAACTAGGACAAAAAGTAGCAAGATTGCAGTAATTTAAATTTCTTCTCTGCCAAATTAAAGTTTCTCATTGGACACTTCAACCACCCAAAATCATGGCATAACCCCATCCCATACTACTCAGATTACGTGTCGACATTTTCCATTTCCAATTTTCCATGTTAGAGATAGATGAAAAGAAAAGCATATGTTTTATAGATACATATATATATATATATATTGATGATCAGTTCTCACTCACCAAAATAAACGACAGTTAGATCGACTTTCACTGTGCCAAGATTCTCAATAATCATTTCAACTTTTAATTATACATTATATAATTCTTGCATATAAAATAAGTTAGCAAAGTGTCGGCTTCACTTTCTTTGCCTATCAACCCCTCAATTGAAATAATAATAATAATAATCCATCATCATCATCGTCTCTGTCCACCCTTTTTTTTTTTCCTCTTTATTTCCTTACTTCTTCTTTGATTTCCTCACTTTATATTTAGGCAATTCTCTGCAGTTGTATAAAAGGAATACATTCTAAACAGAGGATGTTGTTTTTGTTTTT